TTTCCGTTTTTTCCCCAAAGTCTGCTTGCCATGGTCCATAATGTTTGGGCGAAACAACAACAACAGCGTGAACGTGCAGCTAGAAGTAACGCAGTTGTCCACTTCTTCTTATTATTATTTAAAGGCGCCTGGCGGATTGCAAACAACTGTTAGGTGCATACCGCCACCTACTGTACTGGAGTGTGTATCATCATGTCATTTAATAATTAGTTTAATTCTATTCCACAACCTTGTGTCTTTTAAAAATGTAAAAAGTCGCAGTTCAGTACTATGATTCAGTACTACTAGCGGAAACCAGGGATAACGCGGATATTAGGCGACACGTGAACGGTGTTTCTCTGAAATTACAAATCATTGAAAATCATTTAAAACTCACCACAGGCAATTAAACAAGAAAGAATGGAGCCACTTCGAATAGCATGTTGGCTTAAAAAAAGTTTTTTTTTTTAAGTTTTTTATTTTTATTTTATTTTTTTATATAGGCCTATATATTGGTCGAAAAAGATAGCTAATTTGTGTTATAGAGCTCCAATTAAACTGTAATGTTTTCTCTTTTCTTTTTTATATAGCCTAGCCTAATTCTAAATTCTCCTTTATCTGGAAATAAATTGAATTCAACTGAAAAGAAAGAAAAAAAAACATTTCCCATGCGACATTCTTCACAGATGAATAAAAGATGCGTTTACCTGAAAAGTCCAAATGAAATGTTGCCTAAAACGAGGGGTGGCTCATTTTACCCCACTGCTTCAGTAATAATTAAATGTAGGCCCAATGCTAATAAAGCCAATAAGTAATCTACAAAGTAATAGTGATATCAAATTATTGTTTATTTGACTGATCTTATTGTAGGCTAAACGATTTAAAAGTTTAAATTGCTATAATTTAGGCTAGATATAAAAGTTTCAGATTGAAAGAAGAATAGGCCTACTAAAGAAAAACGACATTGATTTGAATATTATTTTAAGAAAATGGTCCGCTGCATTTTTAAAGACCGTCCAATTTGCACGGTCAAGAGGGTTTTAGGCAAACATTTGGAATATGTCCGATAAAAAAAACATTTAATCAAACACAACCCCGCTACGTTTTGTGACTAAATTAAAAGAGGATAGAAGAATGGGGTGGTGGAGGATAGAGATGAGAACCGGACACGTTGTGCTTTTCCGCCGTCTCCCAGCGGGAGTGTAATATCGTGGCTCCTGCGCGCTGACACGCGCACCTGGAAGTGCCGCTATGCTGCTCGCAGCACTGCACCAATTATAGCGCAACATCTCGCTCTGCCGTTACCATAGTAGCGCCGTGCTCCTGTTCCCCTGGAACGAATGAACCGTGGGGGAGCGAATATCTTATCAACCATCGCCCTGGTTACCGCGCGCTCTCTCTCTCTCTCTCCGCGCGCCCCGTAGCTTGAGTGAGAGGCCAGAGCCCTATAGCTGCGAGTGTGTGTGTGTGTGTGTTTTGGACAGAGCTGCAGACGTGAGCACAGAAGGGTCTGGGTGATGTTGATAAGACTGAAGGAGGCTTTGCTGCGTCCCTCAGCCGCTCTGTGATCGTGGCCCATCGTTTCAGACGTGCACACGCACGCTAAATTGCATGCTAATGAATCAGATTTGCTCGGATAGAGATTCGCGTTCACGTCGCATGTGGGGCAGGGTGGCGTTCAAATCGTTTCTGATGGCCGTGCACCTGGAGGAGAAAAAAACACGCTCGGCCTCCTCTCCACGCAACCCCCACACACACTGCGCTTGCTCTCTCTCCCCATGCGGCCCTCTGGCTCGCTAGCTCTCATCGGATTGATGGCCACGAGGAGTGAGACAGACAGACGCGGCCTGCAGAGAGAAAAAAAAAGCTTTCACACTCTCATTCACTCCTACACTATGGACAAAAATATCACGCTCAGTTCACTGGTTTAACCCACCCACAACACAAACACACACTCGCGCACGGTTCAGTCAGAGGAAAATTATGAGTGCTCATTGATTTCACCTCACATGACTTCTTCCATCCATGACTCTAGTTGTGGACACCAACCAAAAATGAAAATGAATAATCAAATAAAAACATTTTAAAGAGCTTAGAGGAATAGTTTACTCAAAAATGACAATTCTGTCATTGATTACTCACCCTCATGTCGTTCCAAAGCCACTTCAGTTCATCTTCGGAACACAAATTAATACATTTTTGATGAAATCTGAGAGCTTTCTGTCCCTCCATTGACAACTACCACTTTGAAGCTTCAAAAAGTTCAGAAAGAGTTCAGAAAACGAATCCATATGAATTGAGCAGTTTAGTCCAAATTTTCTGAAAAGACTCGATTGCTTTATATGATGAACGGATTCATCAACACACGTCAGTTGTGGAGCTCAGAAGCTCAATGTTCGCTTGATGGAGAACCAATGAGGTTCATTCTCATGTTACACACTACAGCATGTTTGAGCTTAAGCAAGGACCAATGAGGTTCATTCTTCATTCTTCAGGTTCATTCAGACCAATGAGGACCAAACTTCTCAATTCATATCGATTAGTTTTGCAAACTCTTTATGAACTTTTTGAAGCGTCAAAGTGTCAGTTATGTATCTGTCAATGGAGGGACGGAAAGCTCTCAGATTTGTGTTCTGAAGATGAACGAGAGTCTGACGGGTTAGGAACGACATGAGGGTGAGTAATTAATGATAGAACTATGGGTGGACTATCCCTTTGATAATATCTCAAGCTCAAGACAAGTAATAATCATTCATTTAAAAAGGTCATCATCATGCAAATTCTATACAATATGACATATTTCGACATGGACTATAGTAATGTTTGGTTTGCACCTCGGTTTATTAAATTGAGGACTGCCAAGACCTCAGAATGTTTGGCTTTGGACACAAATACATGCATTCATTTACGCAGACCAATAAATTTGGCCCCATACGGCACGGGAATGGCGTGCTGTTGGATTTTGTCTTGAATTTGTTTTGGTACTGTGCATTTCACTCAGTCTAGATCAGTATTTGAGCTGGAGTGAACCTGTTCAGATTGAAGAAGAAAAAAACACCAAAATGACAATTACAGCTAAAAATAAGTCACTTATCCAACATGTTGTCCATGTTATGTGGTTAGCCTAAGGCCCCTTTCACATGACTCGTGTCAGGGCGTCAGTGCACGTCTCAACACAAGCGTCATGCACTTGTGCTCACATGAAAAGCGTTACAGATAACATTAGAGAAGGCCGATTCACGAGGTTGCTGGGTAGAAAGAAATCGGAGAACTGTACGCAATGAAAATGAAATAGCTACCGTTTATATATGAGGTTAAAAAAAATGTGGGATAAGAGTTCTCAAAACTTGTCTCTTAATGCTCTAGACCAGGGGAGATCTACCTACCTATCTCTGTAATTATCACATGCTCCTGAAGATCTTAATTAGCTTGTTCGGTTGTGCTTGAGCAGAGTTGGAGCTGAACTTTGCAGGAAAGTAGATCTCCAGGAACAAGATTGGTTGTGTCACAATGTGTCGCAATGATACAAAAGGCGAATTGTCTTGTAATCCCAGTCTACATTATGAAAACTCAATAACAAATGGGGTCAAAGTTGAAATAGTCGAAACGAGCGTCTCAGACAACGATTTCACGCAATGCTTGCTGAGAATTCAATGACATGAATCATGTGAAAGGGACTTAAAGGAGAAGTTCACTTTTAAAAAACTTTTGCTGATCATTTTCTCACCCCCATTTCATCCATCAGTCGAAAAGAAATTAAGGTTTTTGATGAAAACATTCCAGGATTTTCTCCATATAATGGACTTCATTGGGAACCAAACGGTTCAAGGTCCAAATGAGAGTTTCAGTGCAGCTTCAAAGGGCTTTAAACGACACCAGGCGATGAATAAGGGTCTTATCTAGGACCCTTCGAGTCATGATTCGAAAAAAGATTGGTTCATTTTGATAAACGAATTTGAACATGAGAGTCACGAACGAGCATCACAGAACAGAGCAAGGCGAGCTTTTGTGCTTATAAAACTTACACTTTTTTATTTATTTTTTAAATGATAGATCGTTTCGCTAGATAAGACCCTTATTCATCGTCTGGTGTCGTTTAAAGCCCTTTGAAGCTGCACTGAAACTCTCTTGGACTTTGAACCATTTGGTTCCCATTGAAGTCCATTATATGGAGAAAATCCTGGAATGTTTTCATCAAAAACCTTAATTTCTTTTCGACTGAAGAAAGAAAGACATGGACATCTTGGATGACATGGGGGTGAGTAAATTATCAGCAAAAGTTTTTTTTAAAGTGAACTACTCCTTTAAAGGAGCTCTGGAACGTAGGGTAATTCAGTAATAAAGCATCCTAATCAGAAATATTATCATAAAACTTCAATCATTTCCTGAATTTTGGCAGTCCAGATGCTTAGGACTGTGGATTCCATCTGACCAATCCCATAAGGCTTGAAAATGCGTGAAAAAGGAGGCGGGTCCTACGCGTAGCTGGTCTAAATGTTGTCGTTCCACCAGCTTCACCCTCCCTCCAATCTCAGCAGGCCTTCGGCATTTAAAAACAAACAACCAGAACGACAAACCCAAAAGGACCTTTCAAACATGTTTGAAGTAAGGGATGCTACATTAGGTCATCTTCGTATCAAATATCGAGCAACTCGAAAACTGTTTGACATATCAAAAAACGAAACGAAACGAAAAAGGCAATCGTAACATTGAGGCAGTCAGTAAGAACCACTGTGCTAAATTACAATAGTGCTCCTTAATTATCACAAGCTTTAAAACAGAGCCTTGGGATTACATTCTCTAAACGAAATTACGGCATTTCTCCACACATGGACAAACAAAACCACTAAACACACAAATAAAAATGATTGTCCGTTTTCCATTTGGCGGCAAATAGTTCCAGAGCATCCAATAAAGGGCAAGATTCTGAAGTAGAACTCAGATGGTTCCTCAAATGGAACAGAGGAAAAAAGAAAAACGGAATGACAATCCGCCATTCGCTGTTTATTTTTGGTTCAGGACACGTTCGTTTTCAAATAGTGCTTTCATTCCGCTCTTCATTTGTTTTATTTGTTTGTGTGCACCCAGTGTTTGCAAGCGCCACGGCGTTCCGAGTGGGAGTAGCGTCACTTTCCATCGGGAGTCCTTCATTATGGGATGGAAGTCTTGGGGGGAGGGTCCAGCTGCCCTACGGAAACCATCGGAAAGGAGCTCCGGTTGGCAGCATCACCTTCTTGGAAAGACAGGAAAGACAGAGGAAGGAAGCGAGGAAGAAAAACAGCATGAGTCATTGATAATTCAACATAAACATAAACAATGGAGCAGTAAGAAAATAGGAAATGTCTCATTAAACTGGACTCTCAACCCTCATCGCAAGACCGTTTCCCGTTTCGGTTGCAAATCCCTCTCTTTCTGCGGAGCCAGACTCGCTAAGACCGTAAAGCGCTGGAATACCGCAGTGGTGCAAATGGCAGATTTTTTCCCAGCCTGCTTTGGGACTGGGCAGGGGTAGTGTATGGCTCTGGGACTTTGGGAGAGTGGAGACAACGGCAGCGTTTCCTGGGAAGACGTCCAGAACGAAAGAACGAAGGACCGAGGGAGAAAAAGAGGGAGGGGAGCGTTCCCTTCATCATGAAGTAACATGCACAGGCAATGACTTCACCTTACATGACCTAGTCCTTCTCTCTGTTTCCCAAACACACTCTCCCACTCTCTCATTACTCTCTGACAGGGCTTTGGCGTTTGTATGCGCGCGCACACACGCATCCAGGCCCCCTTTTCCCTCATCGACCCCAAAGACAAGCCAACACAGATGGGCTGTCGGCCCATGCACATGGCCAATCAGACGGAGCGTGAGTGCATGGACAGAGACACGCTCTCGGATACGCACACACACACACAAACACTCACCAGATTAATTCCGAAGGTTATTTTTTAACCCATCGTCTCCGCTGTGTCTTAAACACAAACACCAAAAAATAGTCATTATGAATATTTTATTAATAATAATATTGTTATTAATAATAATAATTGTTATTATTAATTATAGTAATTGCCAGATTTCTTGCTGTTTCTGCAATTACATGTATTGCTTATTTCTGAATGTTGACATTAATAATTAAATTATTAATAAACTATAAAAAATATCACATGAATTTGAATTATTACTATTATTAATGCAATTAAATGTATTGTTTATTTTTTGACAACAAAATTACCATTGTGCAACAAAAATACTAAAACAATTTGTAATTATTATTATTATTTTACGATATTTGTAATTATTACAAATATTTAAATAATTTATTTCTGATACAAAAAACAATATGCTTTACATTTATATTTCTATTGTTATATTATTATTATTGTGAATATCATTGTTTTGTTATTTTTATTTTCTTTTTTCTTTTTTTTTTGGAAACCCACCGGATTGTGAGAATTTATCGCTAGATTTAATACTAAAGAACAAAAAATAAAAAAATAAAAATCTGGTCAAACTATTTATCATCCAATCTCTAATAAACATACAGTAGATATTTTGTTGAAAGTTATGGGTGATAAATTTGAGTGCTGTTTGTGTAGAAGTCATTGCCACAATGCTAAGGTGTTGCTATGCAGTTGCTATGGAGTTTGTAGTCTGTTTTTAAGTATATGTCTGTAGTTATGTGGTTGCTAGGGTGTTCAGGCAGGTTGCAAGCTCCTCTATACACATCTCTTGATTTTAGGTATCAGTAATGTCTGCAGCACAAACAGTATGAACAATAATAATAGTGATACTTGCCTTATCATACACCACTAAATAAATGTCCGATGAGAAAATGTATGTAAAATTTAGCAGGTACAGATACAATATATGTTGATATAACGTGTCTGCCTGTCTTTGCCTCTCACACACATACACAGACACTGACACACACTTGTTCCTAAAATACTTCAGTCGCCTGGCTGTGAGACTGAGATTCCTCTAGACTAGAAGAAGAGGAGGGGCCTGTCAGGCAAAGTCTGAGGCCCCGCCCACTCAATCTCCTCCCACTTCCAGCTATCAGGGACTTTCCGAGATACCGGTCACCACACAGATGGAGTGAGATGTGTCATCATGCGGTAAACACACATCAACAAAAGATGCAAGCAATGACATGCAAGGTAAGATCAATGGCCAGAAATCGAATGAGATTTGCACAAAACGCACAGGCCTAAGCTGGCTCAAAACACATAAAAGGCCCTACATATAAAAACACTTCTATCCATCCCAAACACACACACACACGCACATCAAGAAGTCAATAGACCCCCACACCACTGACTGTGAACTGTCAATAAAGGCTCTTTAAACTCCATAAGTCCTCTATGCCGTGTTCAACTAGACCAACCCCACTGTCAATAAAAGCACACAAACACACACAGTAACATACGCAAACCCACCGTCAATAAACGCCTAAACATTTTAAAAACACACCGAGAAACATTTATTCAAAAACATAAAAAGCACAAACCACTATCAAGACAATAAAAACCCCAGCGATAGTACGACCAAACATCACGAGCTGCATATTATGCTTGCTACAGACATTACAAATCACACAGTACAACATGGATTTAACAAACTTGGGTACGGCGTGCATGTAGACTGTACGATGAGGACGGCGTCTATTGAATCGTAGTCTACTGTTTTAATTATTTTAATTTCCTCTATGTAAAGCACAGTGTTGGGAGTAATGCATTACAAAAGTAATACATTACAGTAACATATTACTTTTTGCTGTAACGCAGTAGTGTAAGGCATTACTAATCAATTTTCAGTAATATTTTACTCGTTACATGTTCAGTGAGGCTTGTATTACAGTTGTATTACAGTGTATTGTCTGCTTTTACTTCTTAAAGGCAACAGACTGTGTGAAAGTTTTAAAGCAGTCTTTTAGTGCCAGTTCAGAGCGGTCGCGTCTGTAACATTGTTTTTTCCTCATAAATGCGAACACGAAAACTAAAATAAAATGAATATTTTAAGTTCTATGGAGATTGGAGAGCCAACCCTTCCTCATCCGATTTGCGCAGTGTAATTAACAGAATTACAAAAAATATATTTTGCCTCCTATTTTTTTTTTGTCACGCATGAATGTGTCTCTTTTCCCAAATATTAAAAATAAAACATAGACTGATATTTGTCTAATGTCTGGAGTCCTTTAAGGAAGTAGCCTATATACGTTTCAATACATGAATTTTCTGAGAATTTTTATTTCAAGTTTTGACTGCAAATGTCATGTCCATAATGCTGGACTTCCCCAATTTTAAATAATTTATCCTCAACTAGTTTTGTGGTGTAGGTCTACGTATTTTATAATAATACTAATAATACTAATAGCCTAATTTAAAGATAAGGCAGCATTGGATCTGGACGGTAAGGAGAATAACGCTGGAGTTGGAAGAGGTGTGTCGCGATTCTGTAGCTTCGTGGATCTGAGTCGTGTGGCGAATCGCGATTTCGGTTTCATATTGCATATCGTTACAGCCCCAAAGTTAAGTGTTCTACTTAGTTATTTTGGTGAAAGTAACTCAAAAGTAATACATGAGTAATGTAACACATTACAATTCTGGGACAGTAATATTGTAAGGTAATGAATTACTTTTAAATAACAGTAACAAGTAATACCTAATGTATTACAGTTTGGAAGCAACTTGCACAACACTGCTTATGAAATGTGCTATATAAATAAACTTGCCTTGCCTTACAACACAAATTAGTATAGAAGAATAAAACATCATCATCAGCATGCGCTAGTGGTAAACAAATAGAGCAAGATGAATCGTACTTTGGCAATTGTGGTTTTTATGTGCGCTGAACTAAAAAAAGAGGAATAAGCGGAAGATTATCGACGCAGTCATGGCTAGATAGGCATGCCAATTTTGCAAATGGAGCTTGAGGATCGCAGGCTATTTCTGCTCGCAAGACCATGACAACGGCCGTCTTTGAACATCTCTCACTGTACGACGTAGGACCACCGTTTACTGTACGTCCACACCGCCGCCGACTTGAGCGTCAAAGAAGCTCTGGCCGCTCTGTCAAGGAGGCTTGTAAAAAAGTACGGGGAAGCTTGTTTACGCTTTGGACGCTTTGAACGCTCTGACGTTGCAGGTAGAATAGAAGTGTCACAACATGAAATGTAATAAACAAAACAAAAAAACGAGCAATACATAAAGAAACCTTTTACAATGACAGCATTTTTAAAATCGTTTTGGTCACATTTGGTCGGAGAAAAAAAATAGTTAGCTATTATTATTATTATTGCGGTCAAATGGGTGTCACCGTGAGCAAATTAATTGCATTCCCGCTTTAAAACGAGCGTTCGTAAATATTTTAAATAAAAGTTGCGCTAATGCGGTCCGTATAAGCAAACAACGTCATGTCATAAATGATACGAAACCAGTAGGAAACACAGCAACGGCGATTATTAGCTTCTCTTCCATTTACTCGGAACTAATGTTTTGGTAGGAACGAAAGTTTACATTTCTCCGGAATCTGCCAGCGTGAAGGACGTCTTTATTCCGATTGGTTGCTGGCGTTTTGCCGCTGTTTGCTGCTGAACCGCGTCACAGCTCATTACCATAAAGTTGAGCTTCTTTCAACTTTCTGATTGACACTCAAAATGCGCAAAATGCGACACCGATGGATTTGCAGCTGAGAGAAGCCAGCTTCCATTGAAAATGAATGACTTCCGGCCACTTTGGAAGCTCAAGTCGGCAGCGGTGTGAACGTACAGTTAGGAGCCACGCCCACAGAGATCACCTGACACAATGTAATCTCAGCAGTAGTAATGTTCATATGCGTTATGCGTTCATATGTGTTATCAGGGCAACTATGTCAGCTAGGACAGCAACACGCAGCAGTGTAAACGAGGCTTTAGGCAAGAAATATACTCTACGCAAGTATGCGAATTCTTGCTTTTCCGTTGTTTTTGTAGTAAACATGCGCTAGATCGACATGTTTGAGCGTTGCACTCTTTTGTAGCATCTTTCCCATGATGACACAGCGTTCCAGAAATGCTCCGCTCAATTATTCCACGGCCCTGCTTCTCATGTTATAAAATGCAACAAAAAAAACTCAATCTTTGTGAATCACCTCTTAAAGGTACAATATGCAAAACTGTTTTGCCAACAGGGGGCACTAACCTCTTACAATAACAAAGGCGTATATTGATGTCGTATATTCTGCATTAAGCGGAATTATGGATCTTGTTG